GGGTGACAGGAGCTTTTATGTATTGTAGGAAAGGAAGTCTCGTTGACTCTATGACACGAATGATGGAAGAGTACGCGAACAATCTAGAGAAACTTGTTAGTGACAGAACAGGGATGCTGGAGCAAGCAACCCTCAGAGCTGATAAGCTACTCTCTCAACTTCTACCCAAGTGAATCTTCTTTGCTGAATAATCTGCGCCCAACGTTTTTTACAGCATAACTTTTTTAGATTCGTGGCCAATGAGCTTAAAAACGGACGTCCTGTTCCTCCGAAAATGTATTCCTCTGCAACGGTACTTTTTACGGATGTTGTCGGATTCACGACGCTGTGCAGCACGTCCACGCCCATTGAGGTCTGTTGGAGAAAGTTGTCCAATAAAGCGAACGAAATCATTATTACTACGTTTAATCAGGTTGTCAATCTGCTCAATAGTGTATATTCTGGATTTGATGAAGTCATCAACAAGCACGACGGTTACAAAGTGAGTTACTAAAAGGTTACAAAATTAAATGCAGCACCACTCTTTGAAAAGTAGGGACATGAGTAGTTAGATGTAATTGTACATTAGGTTGGCTCAAATGCATAGCGGATTTGCCAGCGAGGCAAGATCGATATTGTGCTTTTAGGTGGAAACTATTGGTGACGCTTATATGGTTGTCTCTGGTATCCCTGAAGAAAATGGAAAACGTCACATTTCTAACATTTCTACTATTTCTCTTGAGATCATGGAGGTGGTTAAAATTGTCACTCCTGAAATAAGTTTAACATGTAGATGTCAGTTTCAGTTCCTTACCACCTATCGTATCCCGCATCGCAAATCCGAAAAATTGATTATTCGTGTCGGCTTTCACAGCGGCACTGTAGCCGCAGCTGTCGTTGGACTGAACGCTCCACGTTATTGTCTCTTCGGAGACACGGTAAGCTTCCAAATTAGCCATAACTCACTAGCCATTTTCCAAGCTCTATAACTTGAAAAACTGGTCATATAAAGCGAAAAAGAAGATAAAAAGTTGTTTATATATACATTTATTTATTTATTTATTATATATATGTACCGATTAACGCCTCAAAAAATTCTTGAAAAACTCAATTCTAGCGTTCGCTTTCTTCCAGGATTTCAATAGTTCATTGAATAAGTTAGAAACATTATTATAGAAATACCTCAACTTGCTGCAGAAATGTTTGTGTAAAAATGCACCTCAAATTGCGCTTTTGATCTGCGAAACTTGAAATCTTCAAAGCATAACTTAGAACAGAAGAGCGTTAATTTGTCTCTTGGTTTCCACTCTTAAAAATAAAAAATTGACGGTGCTCTTTGAGGTCAATATGGCCTCTCGCATGGAATCCACTGGAGAACCAGAAAAGATACAGATTTCACAAGCGTCAAAAGATCTTCTCGATAACGAATATCCAGAGTTTATAACAATAAAACGAGGAGATTTTGACATAAAGGTATGCGCCTTTTGATTATGAAGTATCAAAGACCTATTAGGTGTCTATTGTAGGGCAAAGGAACATGCTCCACATATTGGCTTCTTCGTAAAGACCGTTCATGTTTCACTGATTAAATTGACATAGTATGTTTCATACGAAAGCAGTTTGTGCACTTCTCATGTATTGTCAATTATCGATCTTTCTAACGCTAGAAGAGATGTTTTGTTAACTACCGTTTGACTCTGTACTAAAATATGCTATTGTAGGTATGTGCTCGTACCCAAATGTATCTCAAAACATAGGGTGTT